AATTCTCTAAGCGCTTTCTATTTCCTTTCACAATTAAATCCATACTCAAACTTTAGGAATAATTTATCTGTGAGTTTATGAGACTGCTACCAATCATTGCAGTTATTCTAATTTTTCCTTTTTATAGTCTTGATAAAGTGAGGCAATTGTGAAACAATATATTCAAATAAATGGCTAATCACATAGAAAGACAGCAACCAAACAACTCAGAGTTGTTGAAGAGTGTTTGGTTATCTTCTGAAATACAAAAATTCAACATTGGGACAATAAAGGAGACTGAAAGAATCAAACGATCAGAAAAGAAAGTCTAGGATTTTCAAAATCCAGACTTCACAGGTTTTAAGAGCTTACTGCTCGCAAATTCATCAGCATAGTGACTGATAGCCAAGTCTTACTTTTATAAGTATAGTTTGGCTGAATTACAACCATGGGTATCCATTCAAAAAAATTTTTTAATATGACTGCTTTGTTGCTATAGTTCTTTGCAACTGCACAAGTAAGTAGCAGGGACAGAGACCACTTGTACTGCAAAAACAAAAACATCTACATTCCAGTCCTGTAAGAATACATTTTTACTGACTGCTGATGTAGGGCATAACTGAATTCATATGGTATTAACTGCCTTTTTAGAAAAAAAAAAAAAAACAATATGTCTTCAGCTATCTGTCTACAAGCTTGGTCAAAAATCGTGCGTTTAAATTTTTTAAAATGTTGCATTGAAAGACACCGTGCCAGTAATCCCACTCAGAATGCTCCCCTCTCTTGGAACACACTTAATCCTACCCTTCCTGCCACTTTCAGAAACAGGTCTGGAAGTACTCTTTCAGGTCTTCGCTGAGTTTGATGAAAAAGAAAATACAGAACGCGGCTGCTGGCTGCCATCACAAGGAAAAGCAGGCTTATAAAATCACTGTGTACCCTCATCCACTTTATTTAACAGGCCTAGTCTCTTGTAATTTCTGGTTCTTCCCCAAAGTCAAAGTGACCATGCAGAATAAATGTTTTCAATTGACTTAGGACATGGCGGCCACAGTACTGTAACTAAAAGCAGTCAGGAAAGAAGACGTCCAGAACTGCTTAAAAAGGTAAAAGAATGACGGGATAATTGCTTGGAAGTGAGGGGGAGTATTTTGAGGGAGTAAATGACTTTTACCTCAGTAAATTATTTAACCTTTAAACAGTCAACATAGTTTTTGATTACACCGCATGCCTATCTCCCGCAGGTCTTCTACAGAACAAAATACAGAAAGCAACTGAGTGACAGTTTATATTTGCTAATCACTGGCTTACACATTTTATCAAAAATTTAATGAAATAATTCTGATAATAGTTATTTTAAAAGATCAAAGGTAGTCATACAGAGAAGTACGTTTTTTTAGAAATTAAATATAGAAAAATAAAAACATAGAAACATATTTAAATAGAAATATATATCCTTATCAATATAAATTACTGGAATATAAAATTGCCCAGACAGCAATTTATTTTTCCTGAAGAAGAATCCCAGAGATTTTTGCTTACTAATTTTCCCGGGGAAGACTTCCAAGCAGATAAATGAAATATTTCATCCAAACCAGTAAGAGAGTGAGGCCATTTCATTGAGGGGCTGAGCAGTAAGAGAAATGGAGCAAGTGAAACCATTTCTGGGATCTGAATACAAGCAATGAAGGAACAATTGTGAAAACTTCAAAGTTTTGGCCAGGATTGAGATTCTACTTCATCAAGAAAAAAGTGTGAAGCACTTTTGAGGGACCTCCCATTCCTACATTTCAATTCAATGTTTAATATTGTTACACATTAATTCTTTAACATAATATTAATTTATAAAATGTGGTCCATAGAGCTCTTTTGGTAAATTATTTCCTCCATGAGATATCACACAATGTCAAGCAGGTCTTTCAAAAAAATCTTGTGATGTTTGCTGAGCTCCTGAATATTTAAGCATGTCATTTCCACTGCCTCCATTCATGAAATATTCGAAATCTGACCTTAACCAATAATGTGGGGGCACGTGCTGCTCCTCTCAAGAATCATTAGTCATTGTTCCACTAGCTCTGGCCATACAGTTCTGCAGAGATGTCTAAGGCAAACCTGACTACTTCAGTCCATAATGGGGAAAAATCTCTGTGTTCTCAGCTACTTAACCACGGTTTTCATTCTAGCTTTTGCATACAGTGCTCTTCTCCAATACTTAAAGTTATTTCATAGTTTCTAGCTCTCTGGACTACACATCTAACACCTCTTTTACCCCTTTGAACTTTTCCACCTTTGTTTAGCTTTTAAGAAGAGCGTACATTTGTCATTTACATTATTAATATGATTTCTCAATGTTAAATCTTTTCTGCTAGCTCTGTGAATTTAATTTGTCTGCTGCACTTTAAAATTTCATTATTCATATCATTTTCTTCTTGTCTTTTTTCCTTTTTATGAATTTCCGATTCTGTGTCATAATAATCTCATCTTTTGACACTGTACTCAGATGGATGGTCAACTTTTTTTAAAATCTTGCTGTATTTCCCTGCTGATTCTCCAAGATGATTTTTGTTTCCCTTTCCCTTTTAATATTCCAAAGGCTCATTGTTGCAATTTTCAGTGCATTCTAATATGGGATATTTACAGGAAAGGTATCAGAGGAAGCCAAAGCCACAGAAAATAAGCTGACAATCACAACGCTGGGAGATTTTCACAATCTATCAGGTTTTTATACAGTTCAGTTTTGTAAGACAGAAACGTGACTTTCTCCTCTGAATAACCCTAGTTCCTGGGACTCTCACTGACAGTGAACTTCCTGTCTGGAGTCACCTTTCCTCTTTCTCCACTAGAACTTTCCACCAGTCTTTTCCCAGTGAAATTTTTGCTTTCAATACATGTGAAAAAATAAAGAGGAAGAGAAATACAGAAAAACAAAAGAGAACAGGGTAGCTGGGCAACTCTTATGTGTTCAAAGGAAGAAAAAAAAAACGCAACAGAAATTATAAAACTCTACCTACCAAAATTCAATAGTTTAATCATTTCATTTCATTGCCTACTCATAACTTCTCCCCAGGATTTTTTATCAGCAAAATGGATGAGACAAAGAGACACTAATGGGAGAGAGAACAGACTGAGGAAGTGCAGATATTACTGAGGTGGACTCAGAAGTAGCAGACGGGCTACAGGACAGTGGCTCAGTCCCTGGCATACCTCTAAACTGATAACAAAAGACAGACAGAGACAGGAGAAAGGATCTTTCTCTTTACTTTCTCTCTCTCACTAGTTTGTTATGTTTTTTAAATGAAGTAGTATGCATGGTTTGTCAACTAAGATTTTCAACCTCAAATCTTAGTCCCAACTTAGTTATGTTAAATAGATTTCTGTTTTGTGAAGCGCCACTGTGTTCCATTTTCTGTGTTTTCACAGATATTCTAGTGGGAAGTTAGGACTGGGTAATACAAATGGCACTCATAAGGAAAGGCCTGGTTCTTTCTTTTTAAATCTGCTTCATCTGGCTACTACTCCTCTTTTGTGTTTCACAGCTGAATGAAGGCTCTAAGTTCTGCCTGGTGCCTACAACTTCTACTTGTGCACTTGGAACCATTCCTTGTTCCACAAATCCTGTGAAAACTAGCTACTTTCTCCAGCCCTTTGGGAAAAAAGAAAAGAAAAGAAATAAAAAAACAGCGCTCTTCACACAGCTCTTTGGCATGGTTCTCAGTGTCCAGTGCTGTAGAAGATTGCCATGTTGCAGAGCATGACTCTTCCCACTTCGAGGAACCAAACTCTATGCTCTTCTATTCTACCATTTAAGACCATTTATCCTTCCTTGGAATTTGCTTTGTTCAACTCCCACTCCTACTACTTGCTCTAGGTGGGGGAGCATAGGGAAAATCTGTGTCAGAATACTCGGGTTTGCACTCTTGCAGTTGGCCCCTATGGAGTAACTGATTTTTAGACACGTCCTAGCTTCTCATGGCCCATTCAATGTACTTATTGTCACAGGTCAAAAAGAATCTCAGGGAACTGCAGAGTCCATCAAAACGGTAGAGTGTTATTAACTACTATGTATACTGCTGTGAACATTAGGCAGAAATCCTGTGAGTTGCTATACATTTCAGCAATTAAAGAAATGTCAATTATGAAAATAAATCACCAATTATCTGAGATGTAGGGACTTGAAGGTGTTCAGAAAATATATAATTCATCATGTTTAAAGTCATTACAGGTTTCTTTTCTTTTCTTTTCTTTTTTTTTTTTTTTTTTTTTTTTTTTTTTTTTTTTTTTTTTTTTTTTGGTACAGGGGATCAAGCTCGGTCCTTGCGCTTGCAAGGCAGGCAGGTAGTAGAACCACTGAGCTAAATCCCCAGCCCAAGACTACTCTTTTCTAATTCAAGTAGGAATTAAAAAAAAAAAGTTACCACAAGCAGGAAGAACGCATGAAGTAATGAAGGTCAGAGCACATTATTGGCTTCATACCAAGAGGTCCACAAGAAATACAGTTGAAATCACAAGAGAGAATCACATATAATTTTAAATTTTCTTTTGGCCATAATTAAAGAATAAAAATGAGAAAGCAGTGAGATTAAATCTAATTCAACCCCAATATATCCAAAATATTAACACTTCATTATGAAATCATTTCAGTGCGTGTGAATTGAAAATGCAAAATCTCATGCATATTGCATATTTGAAGAGCATCTCAGTTTGGACTAGTCATATTTCAAATGATCAGCAGCTACACAGAGCTACAGGCAACCACAGTGGACAGTGAAATTCTCGAGTTTTATATCATCATCATTCCTTAAGAAAAATGTTTTGGAGAAAATTTCTAAAAGTAACTAGTGATGTACAGGAGGTAAAGCATATACTAATTAGCTTGATTTAGCGATTTTACTACCTATATCTCAAAGCAACATGTTGTACATGATATACACAGTTCTTAAATTTATTCCTTGAAAATAAAGAAGAAATGATGTGGAGGAATAAATAGTGTGACAGGTAATGATAAATTATTTTCCTCTTACCTACACAAATCTTCTTTTATATGAAGGGAAATCAATTCCTTAGGAATATGGAAAGAAAGTACACTCTCTGACATCTGTTCCCGGATTTGCATCCACTTATTATCAGAAGTGGGAAATCTATATAATTTACAGACTGGGTTCTTTAACACTGGGAGAGAAGAAAAAAATAAAGAGGTCAGAGTTAAATTATAAACAAATGTAGATGAAATGAAGCTCAGTCAACAGTACCAATAACCAGGGTAGCATTATGATTATTTATTTTGACAGAAGATATTCTTTATTAGAATTCATCAGTATATTTGAACTTCTAAGAATTTTATTTTTATACCACATTTTCAGTAGTTTCTGGAGCATCTTATCTTTGTTGAATTAAAAAAATGTATAAATGTATACATTAGACTCTAGGTCATACGTGTAGCTAAATATGGTTTCCTAAGTCACAGGTACTTATTGATTTCTCCCTCTTTTAAACTTTGTATGTACATGTGTGGGGAGGTACTGGAGGTTAAACCCAGGACCTCTGCACTAAGTTATACCCACAACTGTCCCTTTTTAAAAATTTTGAGACTAGGTAGTTGAAGCCTGGACTCAAAGTTGTGATCCTTTTTTCTCAGCCTCCCAGACTGCTAGTATTACAGGACACTTCTAAACATTTTATAAAGCATATGTGCCCATAAGTATAGATAATAGAAGTGCACACATAATATCCAGTTTGAACAAATGTTTTCAAATTCCTTCTGATCACTCTTAGTCAACTTCACTTACTGGCACATTAAGTAACAACACATATGTTAGTTCAGAAATTTCGGGATATTCTACTAATAAAACTTCTCATATGTCAAGAAGGTTTATTTCTTTTGCTTAAAATGTTTGAAAATTCAAATACTAGGCCTATTTTAATGTGTTGATGTGTCAATAATAAACTTTCCCAAGTCTCCAGTTCATCAGAAGCAAGAGAACAGAAAGTGAAGAAATTCTACTTAGGATAGATGGGCAAAGATTAGGGAAGAATTAACAGTTATGTGAACAACCTGTTTAAAAGTTCAGGAAAATAATGTAGAGGTTGATATTAAAATAATACCTCACAAAAATAAAATAAAATAAAACCTCACGCATTTTCATTAACCTACAACACAATTCCAAACCATATATTTCAGATTAGAATGCTATTCCATTAACGATGAAAGCCACCAAAGTTTAATGGACAATAAAAACATCATATCCAACTCCTGCCAAGTTCTATTATTAGTTAACTCTTGTTTACAATAAAACAGATTAAAAATAATGGCAGATATTGAAGTGGATGTAAAACTTCAAATAGTACGGAGCATGGTGAGTGATGTAAGTCTCCTTAACATACAATGAAACAGGTCTTTCAGAATTGCTGGGTTCTATAAGACTGTCATATTTTATTCACTAATTTTTAAACATTAAGATTTATCTTTCTGAACACTAGAAGGAGTATTTGTTCATTCTTCTGCAAACCTATCAAAATTGGTGTCAATCAAATCAGAAACTTTGATTTCAAACATCACATTTTTCAACCACCTGACGCAAATCTTCTCAGGTGGTTGTGTACTCCAGCCAAGAATTAGGCAGAGGGCTCACTTTTAAACAATACCAAAAAATCTATAACTGTGTAGAATACTTTCAGTATGTTGGAGAGAAAACATTTTAAAATTTAGAGCTGTACGTCCAAAAAGATTTTAAAATACATCCAGGATTTTTCATTTGTCAATTAGGTTTCATCAAACACATATAGAGTTCAATATATTTATTTCCTTCTAGCTGAAATGTAAGAATTTATAGCCAGTCAATAAAAGAAACTACATTTCATTAATTTTTAGAGTTACAATATTTTCTACATATAAGAACTTTGCTCCTTTTATTAGCATACCTCTATAGAGTTGAACAAAAATACATTCCTAGTACAATATGGTGTCAGACCAGTTGTATCACACAGGATGAGCTTTTATGACTCATAATACCATAATATTGTTAGGAATGTGAATGCATCCTTTTATGGTCAGACAAATCTTAAGTCCCTGAAGGGTCCAAATTGCTCCAGAGCAACACATGTAGGTAGATACTCAATTTATGTGGTTCATCTATATGTACTACAGTTGCTCTTTTTTTTTTTTTCAAAATTACATAAAAGCTGTACCTTCAAAACCAGCTAAGGATCCTCGGAATTTTCTTGCCCTTGACAAGTCAATAATTATTTTTTAGACAATTCATATTTTGAATTATATCAGAAAGTATAAATTTATTTCTCTATTGATCCCCAAACAAGTCCTTTAACATTTTTGTTGTTTTTCACTTCAAAGCTTTTCAATGTGTTCCAAATTTGAAACGTCTGTTGAAACAGCTTCGGGAGAAATTAAGAGCAGTTTGATTAATGAGCTATGGAGCTCTCTTCTGATCAGCAGGCACACATCCTCCAAAGACTGAAAATAATGCAATGGGGGTTTTTTTGGTTTTTGTTGTTGTTGTTGTTGTGGTTGTTGTTGTTTTGTTTTGTTTTGTTTTAATGAAAACACTTGAGTGAAATAATCCAAAGTCCGGCAATTTAATCATGCAAAAACATCTATAACTCCTCCCTAATTTTTTTATGTTACTAGTTTTGATGTTTTGAGACTCAGAGGCCTCCACATATAATTACAATACCATATACGATGGTCAATATCTCGGTGCAGACACGTTGGGGTCTATGTTGTAACTCGATGTGATCCAGCAGCTTCCCTCTTTGAGCACCTACTTTGCCTGAGGCTGAGACACCAATGCATATCAACAAATATCAAGTAGTGGAGCACGAATTTAAAAACAATGAAATACAATCTGACTTACAACTGCATTCCCATTTATTGCACTGATTACCAAATGAGATGATCTCAACTCAAAATTCTCGCTGTGCAGATGGTGGGGACTTGTAGTCATCCTCACATAAAAGAAAAACCTCGTACTTCTGGATCTTACATCAAACCATGGGCCACAAATGATGAGTGCTTTTGCCAACATTTTTCAACACTTCTCCACTATAGCACAGATACAATTGCAACAGTTCTGCACACAACTTCCAGCTGGGTAAATTCGCGGAGGATTGCGTGAAGAGATTTCCGCTCAGACTCTGCACCATGCCAAGTGTTTGTTCACGTAGCAGCAGGTCTTCTGACCACACAATAGCTTCAACCCAACAACAATAACTAGGCAGCATGTACTACAAATTCTTTTTGAAGATGGACCTGTGTATATTTCCAACTCCATTTATTTATTTATTTATTTATTTATTTATTTATTTATTTATTTTTTGGTACCGGGGATTGAACTCTGGTCCTTGCGCTTGCAAGGCAGGCCACCGAACCGCTGAGCTAAATCCCTGGCCCTCCAACTCCATTTTTACAATGTTTTTGCTAATACCATTTCTAAAAAGATCACACGGCAGATTCTACTAGAGAAAAGTAGGTGCAGTATTTTGATCTGCATTATTCTTGGTCTTGTGATGACTTAATGGAGGTAAAGTTCTGAGCATCTCTGGATCTCACTGAATATGTTCTTTTTATGGTTCATTTCTTGAGATGTACACAAGAATGGGAACATAAATGACAAATTTATTTTCTTTCAACATGGCAGGCCAACACCAATGTCTAAACTATTTCTCCCAGACTCTGCAACAGGGATGCTTAACCAGGTAGCGGGCCACCTGCTTTCTATGGGATTCAGCAGTTGTGAATGCCAAGCTGCAGCAATTCAGAATAGATCCGAGTAAAGCTGCCAAGGAAACGTTCCACAAAATGACAATGATACATGGAAAAGACTGTGGCTCAAGCAAGGCAGGGCAGACAGAAAGATATACCAGAGCTATCATAGGATGATCTTCTATTTTCCACCTGCTAGGGATATCAGTGAGTTGATCAGACAGAATTTTGGAAATAGAATCCAGGGTGCAAGGGATTATCCAAAAGCTCAAACATTTATTTCATAGGGTTATCTTGTATATACTCCTGTGAGGTAGTTTATCTGCAGTTGTCTTCACACACTTCCTTCCTTTCAGGACAGGGTAGAAGTTTCATATTTGAATGGAGTCTGACTTTATTGCTTTGGCCTCACAATCACTCTTTTAATATACTTAAGATTCTTATAAAGAATCTATCCATTCTGCAGTTTCAATTATGCAGTTGTTTAATTAATTATTCATCTGAACATGCATACATTGCTTATTCTCTAAAACTACCTTATATTTATTAAGGATAAGTCTTTTTAACTCAATCAGCTACTTATACACCCTCATTTGTACTTGAAAATGTCCTAGATTTATATAAACCTGAATTTCAAGTTGGCTATTTATAAGATTGGACAATCTAAAAAGCCTAAACAGATCACAAAAACACCATCCTGGGCATAGATACAAGGAAAGAGAATAGAAGAGGAACTTGGGTGGAGCCCAGAAGATGCCGAATAAAGGCAGTTTTATAAAAGGCAATGCAGGTGAAAAAAAAATTCAAAAGTTAAAATTCCAAGGCATTTATAGTGACATTTTTTTAGGTATGTGATAAAATCAAAATAGTATGTGTACATATATGTACGTATGTATGTATTGCTTTTTGAGATAGGGTCTCTCTGTGTAGCTCAGGCTGGCCTCAAACTTAGGGCAATCCTCCTGCTTCAGCCTCCATAGTGCTGGGATTACAGGTGTTCACCACCACACCTAATCTTAATTGTATTTAAATTGAAAGCAAAAAATTTGAGTAGAATTAGTACGGAGGCTCAGTTGTACAATGCACTGCTTCCCCAATCCACCCAAAACAATAAGCTGGACGTCTATCTTCAATTTAAAGCCAAGAAAGTGAAAAACTATAACAGATGCCATAGTAAAACATAACAGTATCATTGTCTCTAACTGCTGGCACTTGGTGAATTTGGTGTATAGAACTTGGGTTTAGATCTTGGGTGGTCAAAACAGACTTGCTTTCAGCTCTGCTCATTCTGTTGCAGTCAATAAAGGATTCAACTAGAAAAGCTAGAAGTTGGCTCATATTCAATGCTGAAAAACCTAGAATGGCCACTAGTCTACCGCAGTCATCAAGTTGTTTGCCAGCATGACTCTGCTCAAGGCATATCGTGTATTGAAAAGGAGACAATCACTCTTTT